CACAATATTGCATTATAAGTAATAACAAACATTAATCTATGACTGGATACATGGGTAGATAGGCATGATGATCATATGGATAGGTGAAAAGGAATATATATAGGTCTGGCAGATGGTATTTCTATATGCATATTTGTATATGCTATAAAAATGTCCATTTGTATAATAAAGCAAATATGGTACAAAGTTTTGATAACTTCTTAGTCACCTTGAAGGAGTGAATCGTTGGGCCTGAAGGCTCAAGACCACAGTTATGGGGAACATCAAGCTCATACAGCGTAACATACTATACAAAAACAATGTTCTAAATCTTATTTTGGCGTGTAGTGACTGGGGTCTTAAAAGCTTGCAAGCAGCCATCTAAGATACAACTATTGGTCTCTCCTCATCCAGAACAAAGAAGACTGAAGAAAATCAAAGACATGTGGAAACAATTAGTCCAAGTGTCTAATGGACCATGGGGAACCTCAGCCTACAAGACCCTGATACCAGAGATGGTGCCTGGATACCACTGCCAACCACCAGAAAGGGATCAAAATTGGAGATCCTGGATAGAGTGGGAGAAAAATGTGGAACAAAATTCAAAATAACAAAAAAGACCAGGATTACTGGTTGGAGAGAATCTGGGGAAACCTCAAGACTACGGCCCCTAGTCATCCTTTGGGCCTGGAATTGAACTCATTCCTGTGGCTTACCCTTCAGTCAAACAAAAGACAGGCCTATTAGGTGAACAATTACACAAGGGAGATGCACTCCTTAGAACAATCAACCACAGGAGATCAGAAGGGCAGCATTTGCACAGAGAGAAAGTTCAGAAGATAGGAATGCAGGGGAAAGAAGAACACAGGAGAAAGGTAACCAGAGTGAGGAAGTAGAAAGAGAGCTGTTACACTGTAGGGATTAATGTCACAAAACAAATATATATGAACTATTGAACAGAAAATGAATTTTTCCTGTAAACTATCACCCAAATCCCAATAAAAAATTAACTAAATAAATAAATAAGAACTGATCTCACAACTTTAGCACTTTATCTTCTTCATTTGCAACTAAGTATCAGGCCAGCAAAAGGTAGAACCTCTATGTCAGTACTACCTAGCCATCCATGACCAATATTTTCCTAAAGGTCCACAATAATTGTTTGTCTCAGGTCTAGAGCTTTATCAAAAGTATTCCATACATTTAACGACTAGGAGACTAGGAAAGAAAATATGCAAAAAGGTGGGTAGTAAGTTATTTAGTAAACTCCAAGACAGATAAAAGAAGGAAAGACAATGGGCCAAGATGGAAGAGGAAACTCTTTTGAAAAAGAATGGAAAAGATCATAGACAAGATGGAGGAACAGGCAGACAAGTGACACAGATCCTCTTAAACAAAGACAAGAAAAATCAATTGACAGAGATACAGAAGATAATCCTGGAGCCCTGAGCTTTGAAAGGAACTATACAGAAGTGGACTAGGCACCAACTAGTGGAAAAATCTGAACAAAAACAGTGAGTATATAGACAGTCGGAGCTGCAGACTGTCAGCTATTCTGACAGGACCAACAACATGAATATTTCCAAATGGTGTTGGGACCTGAGAATTGACCTAAAGATCAGCTCTGGTCACCAAGGGCTGCAGGGCAGACTGTGCTGGTGGTCTGTGGCTAGGAAGGGAAACAACAAGGAGGGAGACAACATGAGTTGTTGACTCCGCTGTCTGGTGGGCGCAGCCATTTTGATTGTTTACATGCAGCGGCCATTTTGGATATTTAAAGGGACCTAGGGCACAGTCATTTTGAATGTTTACAAGTGGTGGCCATTTTGGATATTTAAAGTGACCAAGGATGCAACCATTTTGAAACTTTATAAGTGGCAATGATTGTGGATTTTAAAGTGATAGCATTCTCACATTCGGATTTCAGGGACCTAAGAATAGACTCTGTTTGCCAACATCCACAGCAACATACAACAGGTTGACAACAGGAAAGGAGACATGTGGTGAGTGTGTAAGTACCGTCAACTAGTTAATAGGGGAGCACAGCACAGTATCCTGCTTGCGTAGATAACATACAAAGAAAACAAAAATCGTGGGCAAGTCACTCCAACATACAACCACCAATTAAATATAAACACAAAAACATCACAATGCCTCAGGGACAACAGAGCATCACAGTCCACACAAAGAAGCAAGATAAAGCATGACAAACAAGGGACCAGGATACAGACCTAAAATGCACCCCTGAGGAAGACGCAGCATTGTAACTCCCTGATAAAGAATTCAAAAGAATTATATTGAGGTATCTTTAACAAACTGAGAGGCAGATCAAGGAAAACACAGAGAAAACCCTAGAACAATTTTGAAAGACAATACAAGAACAAAATGACAAAATAAACGAAAAATGAGAAATGATACAAAATCCACACACAGAAATCGAGAAGATTAATACTAAATTTTCAGAAATAGATAAGACATTGAATGGGCAAAGGAGCAGAAATTGAATCAATGGAAGACAGAATTAGGGAGACTGAGGCAAATACCTGAACACTTCTATGGAAAGAGATAAATCAGAAAGAAGATCAAAACAAAATGAAGAAAGCCTAAGGTTCATGTGGGATGCCATCATGTGTAATCGGAATTCCAGAAAAAGAAGACAAATAAAACCACAGAGAAAATTGTCAAAGATTTGTGGAAGACAATTTTCCTGGTATGATAAAAGATGAGAACATATCTATTCAAGAAGTCCAACAAACCCCAAACAGGAGAGACCCCAAAAGAAAATCATCATCAAACTCACCAAAACCAAAGACAAAAAGAGAATCATGAGACCAGCACAAGAAAAAACAAAAAGTTACCTACAAGGGGTAACCAATAAGACTACACTCAGATTTCTCAACAGAAACCATGCAGGCAAGAAGACAATGGATGGTATATATAAAACTCTGAAAGAGAAAAATTTCCAACCAAGAATTATGTACCCAGCAAAACTGTCCCTCAAATATGATGGTGAAATTAGGACATTTCCAGATAAGCAGAAATTAAGGGAATTTGTGCAAACCAGACCAACCTTACAAGAGATGCTAAAGGTAGTCCTTTGGACAGAGAAGCAACAACAGCCAACAACAAATGACTATTAACACACATGATGATATAACCCAGAAACCAATCTAGCTATGTAAGTATCCAAAGTAAAGAAGCCTACAAGATTGTAAACAGGGAACCAGAGACATCAATTAACAAATGAGGACAACAACAAACCAAAAGGAGGAAAAAAACTGTGTCATTACAGAACTTCTAAATGGTAGGGAAACCAAAACAACTACAAGGTAGTTCTAAACTTGGAAAGAAAACTATAAATCACAGGGTAACCTCAAAAAAAATTATAAACCTTCACATCAAATTAAAAAAGAGGACCAGCACAAATATTTAGCAAAGACTAAAACAATAGCAATGAAGGAAGTGATAACATGATTCATAAACAAAACTAGCTCAGCATAGAAAACTATATGGAACAAAGAAATCGACACTACAGAAAAGCATATAACAAAAATGACAGCAACAAATTCATATTTGCCGATACTTACATACCTGGCAAGGGACTTATCTCTCAAATTTATAGAAAACTCCAACATCTCAACACCAAAGGAATTAACAATCCAATTGAAAAATGGGCAGAAGACATGAACACACACTTCACCAAGGAGGATATTCAGATGTCCAGCTAATACATGAAGAGATGCTCACAATCACTGGCCATCAGAGAGATGCAAATCAAAATAAGGAGATACTGTCTCACCCCAGCACTGATGGCAAGGTTCAATGAGACAGAAAATAACAAATGCTGGGGGGATGTGGAGAGATTGGGACTTTTTGTACACTGCTGGTGGGACTGTGAAATGATACAACCACTGTGGAAAACAGTATGGTGATTCCTTAGAAAGCTGGAATTAGAGATACCATTTGACCCAGCAATCCCATTACTAGGTATATATCTTAAAGAGGTGAGAGCCAGGGCAGGAACAGATAATATGCACACTCATGTTCATCGCAGCACTATTTAAAACAGCAAAAAGGTGGAAACAACCTACGTGCCCATCAGCAGAAGAGTGGATGACCAAACTGTGGTATATACATATAGTGGAATGCTATGCAGCACTAAAGAATAATGTAGAGTCTGCAAAACACTGCATAACATGGATGAACCTGGAGGACATTATGCTGGGTGAAATAAGTCAATCAGAAAAGGACAAATATAGTATTAGTTCATTGTTGTGGAGGGTGAAGGAAAGGTTTATATACGGAGGGAAACTTTCTTTGTTGGATGCCAGGGGTGGGAGGGGAGAGGAAGGAACACTGCCAAAAAAAAAAAATGCATTGACCCATCTCACGTTAGTTTTGTGTATTTCACTGTACATAAATTATATTTCAATAAAATGCATTAAAAAGTAATTATAATAATGGAAGAGGGGAAACAAATCAGAAACCAGATCAAGAAAGAGGAGAACTTAATAGTTCAAAGTATTATGGAAACAAAGCAAGAGAACTTAAGATGTATGTGCAATAAATAATGTTGTTTTAAATATTAAAAATAAATACTATTTTTTATGTATTTCTTTTTGACTATAATCAAATTTAACTCAAAACAAATGCTACATGCCTGGATTTTATAAGCTTAGATTGAACAGTATTCTGTATTTTAGTTTACTTTGTAAATACAAATTTTAGTAACAATATAAAATATTTTAATAAAACTACAACAATACAATTTACTTAGTTATGGGTCACAAGTATGGTGCATTTGTTTTTAAATCTCCTTGGGTTTTTTTGTAGTTTTAGATTTCGGAACTGTAATCAAATTCTAAGATCTCACAGAAAGACTCAGTTCCAAATTCTCCTAATGTTTAATAGACACGTTTAATGCAGTACTTTAAACACAATTTGATAATCAAGAATAAAGGTAAAAACTAAGCCATTTTCCAGAAAAATTAAGTCATGTAAAATGGTATGTAACAACTTACCATATTCTTTTTCATTTACTTCAGAGATAGGTTCAGAAATAACACTGCAGAAAGAAATTGCACTTGCTGCAGAGGGATTCCGAGAATGCCCCATGTGGTGGGGTACCTTTTTCACATTCTTTAAGGCTTCCTCAGCCTGCTCTTGCTCCATTGCTGCAACCATATCTTTATATGCTTTCCTGGCTTCTTCAGTGAGTTCTACTAACTTATTAAACAGGCTCTAAAAATAATAAGAGATTCTGATTAGTCCATTTTCATTATAGTTTTTATTCCTACTAAATAGCAGTATCTCCACTCTTTCAGCGTCATGTATACTTTCAAATCAACACAAAATCCAAATGGTATGCAAACCACAAAACCTTATAAAATACCTTATTTTATATATATATATATATATATATATGTGTGTGTATATATATATATATATATGTATATATATATATATATTTTTTTTTTTTTCCATTCTTACAAACCTGAGCAAATGTCTTAATTCTAATTAAGAGCTCCCAATTCTAATACTAGTCACTAAATATATTTAAGGAGCTCTGGTAGCGCAGTGCCTAAGGCACTTGATGGCTAACCTGAAGGCTGGTGGTTCAAACCCACCAGCCACTCCTAGGAAGGTTGGGCAATCTACTTCCGTAGTGACTGCCTTGGACACCCAAGGAGGGGTCGCTATGAGTTGGGTCCTACTCGACTGCACATAACAACAACAAATGTATTTAAAGTTCTTATAGACTTTAATTCAATCAATATACTGCCTGTCTGTCAGGCACTATAGAGGGTACAAAGATGACTAGAATACTACAGCTGAAAGGAGAAACTCCACAGCTGAAAGGAAAGACAAGAGACAGCGGTGATTCAAGGGACAATACCGTAAATGCCTTGAGAGGTATAAACTATGTGGCTCTTTATAGAGCCACAAATCTAACTGCTCAGTATCACTGAAGAATTCACACAGGAAGACGCCATCTTATATGATTTTGAAAAACAGGTACAATTTTGAACATTAGAAACAGGATATTCTGAGGCAAGTATGCAAAACCACGACTAAAAGTATGACTATAAGAGAGTATAAAGGTCGTTTCAGGAACAGTAAAGAGTCTTACTTAGGTTGGAATATAAGAGAATAAGTATGTGCAGGGTAACATCCAGGGATGTAGGAAAAGAAACCAACCCAAATGTCAAGTCAATTCTGACCCATAGCAATCCTTGGGACAGAATAGAACTGCCCCATAGGATTTCCAAGGGTGTAAATCTTTACAGAAGCAGACTGCCTCATCTTTCTCCAATGGAGCAGCTGGCTGGTTCAAACAGCTGACCTTTCGGTTAACAGCCCAATGTTCTAACCAGTGTACCACCAGAGTTCCTTCCACAAGAATTAAAGTTCCCTATAATTTTCTCTTGTTAGAACGTAAAGACAAAAAACAGTCAATGATGGTCTAGTCAACTGGGGCCTCAACAATGATGAAAATACATTAACAAAATAGATAAACATGATTATTGGGCCAAAAGCAATTATGGATATGGAACATACAGTCTAGAAGTAGTACGAGGAGGTAAATACCCAGACGTTCTTCTATCAGTGAAATTCATAACAAAAATGAATATGAATGGAATAAATTATGCCAGTGAATCATTATCTGTGGTAGGACCAAAGACCATACCTGTGCCAATAAAATGGCAAAATTCACATAGCATTAAAGATGTATATACAATTAAACGATGTCCAAAGAAAATATAAAGGTTCCACAGCCACCAGAAAGACAATTACTTTTAGCAGTTCTCACATCACAATTCAACAATCTTCTCATGTTAGTATCTTGATTTAGTATCACAATGCAAAACACCCACATGCTGCTGTTGTTGAGTGCTGTCAAGTCAATTTTGACTCACAGGAACTCCATGTCACAGAGTAGAACTGTCCCACTGGATTTTCTTGGCTGTAATTTTGTGTGTGAGTTTTTGTTTTTGTTGTTAACTGAAGTATAAAATACACACAAAAATCCATAAAAGATACATACAGTTTGATGAACTTTTCACAAACTGAACACATGTAACCAGCATCCAAACCAAGAAATAGAACATTACTGTTCTGAATGTGCACATTCCCTTTCATCACAACCTCCATCAAGGATAACTACAATTCCAGGTGCTAAGCCAACAGACTGCTTTTTTGGCTGTAATCTTTACAGAAGGAGAATGGCAGGTGTTTCTCCTGCAGAGCTGCTGGTGGATTTCAACTGCCAACCCTCCAGTTAGCAGCCGAGTACTTAACCACTGCATCGCCAGCTGTTAAACACTGTGTGTGCACACATACACACAAGTATTTTTATATATAAACTTATGTTTTCAGACACCAGGAGGAAAAATAGAGCATAATTTTTTAACAAGGTCTTGTTATTTAAGTATAAGTCTAAATATGTTTTTGAAAATAATCTCAAGAAGGAAAAACATAAATGACATGTTTTAGCCAGCTGTAGTTTAAATTGTTTAACATACCAGGTAGAATAAATGATGTTGCTAACTGTATCGAGTTTTGAAAAAGGACGGGTGGTGACTACTAATAGTCTCAAAATATATTCGGGATTTATATTTTTTTTTAAAAAAGGGAAGACGAAGTCTGTTAAAAGTAGCCCTATATGTTATATGTAACAGACTTAATAGATATTTGTTTGCAACCTTTAACATGTAAGTGAAACCAACAAAAAGAAAATGACATGCAATTTTGAGATTAATACTGAGTTTACAATGTAATAAAATATAGAAATTGTTAGAAATGAAAGAATGTAAGAAAATAAAATTGAAGAGATAAGTTGGAGCAGCTGGAAGGGAGAAAAGCTAGGATCAGATAATAAAGACTTAGACTGTAAGAGTAAGGAATGAAAATTTAATTCAAAGGAAAGTTCTGTCAGATGATATAAATAAGCACACTACCACATTATTATGAATGGATATACTTCATAATACATCATTATTTTCTTTATCACCATTTTAAGAGTGCTATTTTCATTTAAACTATAATGTGTCTACCTCAAAATAGCTGAGGGCAGTAAAACATGCAAACAAAACTGGCAAGCATTTATAATTTAAAGCAGTAATAAGGCAATTGAAAACACATATGCCCACTTTTCCTGATCCCCTTCCTATTCTATAAACTCTAATACTGAATAAAAAAGGACATTTCATTGGGATTTATTAAGTGTTTTTATATATGACCTTTATTTATTTATTTACCTTCTTTCTTTCCCACAAAGGTATTAACATCCAAATTCTTACATATTGTGGTAGAGATGCATCTACCACACAATTCATTTATAGCTTGGTCATGCTCAAGTAACATATAAGGTGTCATGGATACAAAAAAAGAAGCCTGCTCTCAAAAAACTCAGTTAAAGAAGAAATGCATATAAACTACAGCAGGGTAGTATCACAGGCTATGACTGAGGAAACACAAATATCCATTATATACTTATAGAGAGGGTGGGTAGATAGATCATTTCATGGGTGGTTGGAGAGAAACTGAACTGATAGGGAAAAGGGGGATATGCAAACATGGTAACTGGACAGGAAAGAATACACACATACATGAGAATAGTATGGTTGGTAAGGGGAAAGGTCCTTTAATGATAGCATAAAATACTTTTTTTCCCCTTTAATACTTTAATGCATTTTTGGTGAAAATTTATACATAAGTTAGGTTTCCATTTGGCAGTTTCTGTGCAATTGTTCAGTGACATTATTTATACTTATCACAATGTGTTAACATTCTCTTATGTTTTGTATGTTCCACTTCTACTGTTCAAGTTTCCCTGCCCTCTTACCTTCTCATCTTTGCTTTTGAATAATTCTTCATCTTTTGGTCTCACACAGATGGTTTTTAAGTAAAGCACCAATCTTACGGGTAATATCCTTTTATTGCATGTGTCTGTTATTTTGCCAAAAAATGATCTCAGGATAGGCTTGGTTCTAGGTTTAAAAGAGTGTCTCGTGGCGATGGTCTCAGGCAGTCCTCTGTTCTCTCCCATTCCCAGTTCGTCCAGCTTTTTTTTTTTTTTTCTTTTTAAGAATTTGTGTTTTGCTCCACACTTTTCTCCCATTTTATCTGGGGCCATTTATTGTAGCCCTGGTCAGAACCGTCAGTTGTGGTAGCTGGGCACCATCTAGTTCTGTCTCAGGGCAGATGAGCTTGTGGCTCATGCAGACTTGTTTCTTCTGAGCTTTTGGTTACCTTATTGTTTTGCTCCTGGCAAGTACAGACCACTAGTTGTGTCTTAAATGGCTGTTTGCAAGATTTTAAGATCTCAGATGCCACTCACTTCACTGGGATGTAGATCATGATTTTTATGAACTCAGCTATGCTACTTGACTGAGTTGTCCCATAAGACTATGGTCCTAAGCTTTTAAACATAGAAAACTAATCTTGGGAAGTACTGGTTATATCTAAGGAGTATCTGTATTTATGTCCTCAGTGACTAAATGTGCCAATACCCACATATTTGTATTTACACATCCCTATAAACACCTCTCTCTGATCTTGCCTATGTACATATCTGTACCTACCTCTATAACAACATGCCTATACCCATCAAAATGTGCTCGAACACTTGTTTTAACTTTGGCTGTGCTATGTTCACTACATCCACATTTGGTGAACTTTTCCTATGGCCAAAAGTAAGTCTCTATGGATCTAAAGTGTTCTTCCCCTCCTTCTCTCCCTGATAACCACCAATGAAAGTTGCTCTCTATGTATCTGTTCTCATCCTCATATAAAAGAAGAATCACACAATATTTGTCCTTGTATGCTTGACTCACTTCACTTAGCATCATGCCCTCCAGGTCTACTCTTGTTATATTTCATGGACTCATCACTGCTCTTTATGGTTGAGTAGTATTCCACTGTATGTATGTACCACAATCTGCTTATCCATTCATCTGTTGATGGGTACTTCAGTTGTTTTCATTTATTTGCTATTGTGAATAAAGCAGCTGCAAACATAGGTGTGCATATGTTATATGCATAGGTGTTAATGTCATCATTTTTAGGTCTCTAGGGTATAAACCAGGAGCTCTGGTAGCATAGTGGCTAAG